TAATTTTTATGGCTGTAAATCTATATCAAACATTTTGAAAGTAGATTCGGAAAACCTGACAGGTTTTCAAGCTCATGTTAACCCACCGATCTGAAGAATTCTTTGTTGTTTAAAGCGTCTCGATCGAAGAACAGCAACACGCAAATTTTTTTACTAGCAATAATCCAGCACTTCCATACACAGCTTTTGACCGAACGCAGAGGTGTATTGCACTGCCATTTAAAACTTTTCATTCAATAAAAATGATAAACAGCACTCTTTCATAAAATATACTCAAATATACTCTAATAAATTTAAACCTTACGTAGTCGCTTTCACCGCTTGAATTGACATCTGTTGTGTGGAAGAAAGAGTATGAGTTAGTGAGTTTTCGAATTTTATTTGTTTAGAAAACTGAATAGGGAGGCTTAAATCAACTGAAGAAGTGAATACGAACTCCAGCCAGCCATAGACTGTCAAAAAAACTGACAATAAACCCGCACCTTTTGATGAGAAAAACTGCTTTGAAGTTCGGAAGTTCACGACGACGTGAAACAGGTCCTTCTCAAGTCGTCGACGTCGAGACGACGACGGAATTCTTGGTTTGCGCTTGCGCAGTAATGTTCTTGCTACTTCCGGTCGTCGTCCTCCGTTCGTCGTCGTAGTTGCTGAAGCTCCCTATTATGTTTTATACGAACCTCGCAAACTTTAAACACGTTCTCTTGTGATACCTGCGAAAGTATTCAGTATAATTTCCGGTAAGATTTTCGCGGACAATCTGATCGATTGCTCTTACATCGTGTTCCGAGATTGAAACTTTTCACCTCGAGCAAAGCTTCGTCACACAGCTCAATTAAACATGGCGACAAACTAAACTTGTATACGTCCGTGTTAAAACACACGAAAGGATTCCAAAGCACACTTCACTCTGATTGGGCAGAAAAACGCAAAGAGTTTCTGACATCAATCAGATGCCAGAACGACTGCGACCGTTTAGAACTAGTCTTGTAAGACAATGTCCCCAGGGGCTCTTCCGCCCTAACTTGAAGTCGACTCAGCCCCTGGGTCTCTGAGGATGAGTAGTGCCAGGTCACGCTCTAATTCCCAATACCAATTGTCTTCAACCTCGTCCTCAGGGTATTCCCCAGGGTATTTTGGACCTTTCCTTTGGAACTTTTGGACTTTTGGACCTTTCCGGTTTTTCGATAGAGGTTTCATTTGTTTTTGTTTATTCTCCTTTTCGTGGAATGCAGTTCCCATTTGCCACTCGTTTATGAGCATAGGAGAACGAACAATTGTGGTAAAACGAGTTTGGACTATGGCAGACTCGTGGTATTAGGTAGATCGACCGTCTTCTGCCATTTTGGAACTTAAGAGGTGAGTGTATTATTACATCGTAATTTTGTATCGTTAGGTTGTTATCGTTAGCTTCAATCCATGATTTCCAGTGAATTTAAGAGGTGTTCAGTAAGGGGGGTCAGTAGTGGGTCAGTAGGGGGTCAGTGTTTTGTCCTAGCCCTACGTCACACGCTTCGAAAACTGCTAGTACGGTCAACTCTCAAGCCAATTATCACCAAAAAACCCATCGTTTTGTGAATGAAAACTGTCTTTCGAAGAACAAAACATGACGGAAATTTGTTCTATCATACATAAGTATTCGATCTACGGTGAAAAAAATTACATGAATTTGGACGTCAGTTCTCTTTTAAAGGCCTCTTCGACCAGGCATCTTCTTGCCGGAAGCGAGTCAGTTCATTCTTGCCCTCTATTAACTCTGGTTCGATCGAAGGTTGTTTCGATCGAAGGTCGTTTCGATCGAAACCAAAGGTCAGTTCGATCTAAGACAAGAGTCAGTTTGATCGAAGAGTAAATGATAGTAGTATATGTAGTAGCGATTCAAGGAAAAGAAGCGATGTCTTGCGAGCTTCTTGCGAGGTAATAAAGAATAAAATTTGAAGAACCATGATGCGAACCATGAGCATCAAAACGATACCGCTGACTCACGGGCTCATTTTCGCGAGTTCGAGTTCGTGTCCGCGCGATTAATCGATGGAAATCACATCCAAATGCGCGTGGAACATAAAGAATGGTCGCGTCTGTTTTGAGCAAATTAAGGAGGCTCGAAAGGGTTTTCCACAATTAACAGCAAGCGCTAATCAGTAAAAGATATCAGGACTGTCAAACTTATCATCAGGATAATAACTCGACATATGCATAACGCTATGTTAGGGCAATCTTTTAAGGGGGTTCGTCAGCCGTTATCTGTTGCCATGGCAACAGTACAGTAGTGAAACTCAGTTTTTGAAAGATATCTCAAAAACAAGCCGGTGACCTAGTTTTTTTTTTCAAATTTCTTAAACATCACATTCTCTACCTGTATACGTTATATAAAAAAAAACTACCCAGTAGAACTTGAATTATTTAGGAAAATGCTGTTTTAAAATGTAAAAAAAATTCCACTAGATAAATTTTTTAAACTTTTCTACAAGAATGCGTAATAATGAAAATAATTTGTATACAAAAAATCAGGGTAGGTCACGGCAGTAATTTTTTGAGATATTAGTTCATCAACTTAGTAAGGTTTATTTCCGGTTTTTGCAATTTTAGCTCACTCTTTTATATCCGGTCACGCGTTTTAAACGATACCGCTGACTCACGGGCTCATTTTCGGAGTTCCAGTTTGTGACCGCGCGATTAATCGATGGACGCCCTCAGCGCGGATAAAATCGTTCATCCTAAAGATGGATTCACATTGTTTTGTGATTTTAAACCTTCCTGAAAAATAAGTCATCATTTGAGACTCAGACTGCGTACCGTTACGACAGTTGGAAATAAACTCCGGAGAGAATTCTCTAGCGGAATTCGATATATGATGACAAGTTGATTTTGCAGATGGCGCCAATGCCAGTACTCCATTGAGGCCGGTAATGTTGAGTTTCTCGTACACAGATTGTAGTGTAACATGAGACAAACCAGCATCTGCCAGCTTCTGGACCATGTTTGTCGAAAGATGAAGCTTTCCATCGAACGTCTGGATGGTATCTTGTCGTTGTTCCNTTTTTTGACCACTTTCGGCAAGAACCCTGCCATCCGAACATTTTCCTACCTGCTTTCAAGAAGTAAACTTTCCATTTTTGTTTCTCAAATAACCACTTCCGCTGGAAACAATAGAGCTAGAGGTACCCGGCAATTTTGAAACGCTCATGGCGGCCATGTTTGTTTACAACTCGCCCGCGGATCTGATCGCGCGCGCCATCGCTTATTTCTCTCGCGAGTAATAAGCTTGCGTGTATCTTGGAATCCATTCTCCTCGCGGTCAAAAAAACCCTTTCGAGCCTCCTGGTTTTAAAAGCCGACTCTGAGGAACAAAGCGTGATAACTGTATCAGGAGATATTTTCAAACAGATTTGATAAATAGTAAATTCAATACACTTAAGCAATAGTTACAGTCTTTGATCGAACTGACTCTTGTCTTCGATCGAATCGACTTTATCGATCGAAACAACCTTCGATCGAACTGACTTGCATTCTTCTTGCCCCCTCCCTACCCCCTCCCCGTACCGTCGACTCTGACACCAAATTAAACTAGACCGGTGAAATAAACGATCGCGCGCTTCTTGACATTAACTAGCCCTAAGAAAACGCATGCACTGCAGGCTATCGCAAAATTTGCATTGCATTGTGACACTCACAGTGCCTGTATGTAATGGAGCTATCCTGCTGATCATACCCAGAGAGATTGCTTTGCAAGTTAAGAGAAGATCTTTTTCGATTTCACTGACGAATGTATGGGAAGTACCTCCCCCCCTGCACTATTAGGTTCACTGAGGCGAGGCTGAGTAAAGTATATTCAGTTTGTGTTCGCCACAGCCCTCGAGGGATCGAAGATGATCTTCAATTTGCGTGCTGTCTCTTTGGTGGTCGTCATTATAAATAGTGGAGTTGTTGGTGAGTGCTGTTAATCACTCTTTTATTTTAGCTGTGAAATTTACCTAACCGTGATAATCATGACACTAAAATCGCGGGTCGATGAAGCCAAAACTGAGAAATGAAACTCAAGCATCATCTTTGCCTATCAAAAACATTTTATCAGTGTGCACCATTAATATAACTGAAACTTTATGGACAAACTGCTGTGGCAATTTGCGGGAAGGATGTTATGCTTTCACTTGCATAGCCAGTGATGAGTCACAAGTTTAGATTTGTACTGTGGACGAAGGTGGAAATAAACCTCTGGTTCTTTCTATCTATCTTGCAGCAAAAAATTAAAAACTTCATGGCGTGTTGTGGTGCTATTTGCCATTTGCGTTCGGTTTGTGAGAAAAAGTATCGAGTTCATGGTTTATTCTTCTATTTCGATTTTGGTTCTGTTCCTCGGACAGAAAACGTTGTCAATATATTTCCTCCACCACAGCGATGTAGTTGTGCTCTGTGTTTAATACCTTATTTCTTTTTTTTTCCATGACAATATTGGCAAAAGCTAGTACCGTTGTGGTATTCTGTGCCGTTTCCTTTCTGTGTGAGAGAAGAAGTATTGAATACCAGATAATAACGATAACGTTGGCGCGCAAAGCACATTAATTTTGTCGACCGTGACCCTTTAAGGAGTAGTGGTAAATTGTTTCATGGTGTAATACTGCAGTTCTCTCATAAAAGTTTGAGACTGTCCTAAAAAGAGGAAGAATCTTTGTTATACGTTTTCATGTTTTTTTCATGGCTAATGAAATGCAAAGTTATATATTTTGAAGCTTGCCTAGACATGCCATTGTAAATATTTTAGGTGTGGAGTTACATGGTTTTATTTTCTAGCACCTTTGACAATATTCCGCAGGCAAAGTTCTGAACAGCCTGGATTTTCTATACATTCTTGGCTACACATATTTTTAATAGTGCTGTTTTAATTTAATCTGATAATTGTATAGCTTTTGCTTAATTTTTACACAATTTGTAATGTAGTTTGACAGTGGGTCCACATCATCCTCTGGCTGCCCCTAATCTAACCTACTTCACCAAATAAAGTATGTATGTATGTGTATGTATGTATGTATGTAAGATGTATTTGCCTGAACATTTAAGCAATATAGTAGAACTTGATTAACTCAAACCCAATTAACTTGAACAGCTCCTCTCCCCCTGCCCCACTCACTTTAACAAGATGCAGTTTCGCTTAGATTTGACCTTATTTTTCCAGTCAATTACCGACAGTTTTACTTGAACTTGGTTAAATTGAACACCCAGTTAACTCATGTCAAACTAATCTTACTCTTCCTCCCATCAATAACGATTGTTACAAACATGTTGACATGTATTAAATTGTAACATATTATTTTGAGTAAATGTCCCAAACTGCATGTTATTTATGAAAAAAGCTCCCAAAAAGCACACTTTAGGCAGGGCTTGATACTAACTTTTCAACTTGCTTGCTAAGTGACTAGTGACATCTAGATGTCATAACAATTTCAGTTTGTTTACTAGCCAAACTGGCTAGTGGAAATCAACAACCATTAGCCAAAACTGAATTTCTACTAGTCTATTGCTAGTTGGCAACCTCGTTGAGCCCTGTTCATGCACTTAAATGACATTTGATTGTGCTTAAACAGGGATTGTAAAGGCTGTGCACCATGTTTATATGATGTTTTAAGTAAAGGAAATGGCATATCAAAAATTCACTCACAGGCCTAAATTGTAACTGAGCCATAGCAAGTGCAAATATAATTTGCAATGAAAATTTTAACAAAGTCAAAGTTTTTAAACCAGTATTTCAGCTCAAATGCGAGATGTTTCTCAGCTGAGCAATGGACCAAAATCATATTGAACATGATAAATTACCACGTCTCGGCAACTTTGTCGTAAATCTTTTTTGCTACCAGACATTTGTCTCCTCATTCCCGTTTTCTTAGCCAGTAATACAACCTTTTAAGTGGCAAGCAGGCATACATGCAAATTTGGCAAAATGAAAGTGTTGGGAACATGTTGTTGCTCATGCAGTCATATGAGTACACAACTTTTCTTAATACCGACTTGATGTTGTCAAAATAATACCTTCTCAGACTCCTTCAGCTTATCAACACTCAATAAACTAACCAATATATTAAGAGAAGAAGCCTTGAAATTTAAGCTGTCCCTAAAGTGGAACTCATTCTTGATGTCAACTTCTTTACTTTCTTTGTTGATGGGAGAGCCAACAACCACATCTTTGCTAAAGCCGATGTACTCTCCTCATTATTGGGAATGAAATTGACGTCTCCATCCGTTTTGCCAAGATTCTCAACTAAGGATGAGAGTCATAGCCAGCCAAGTTGCAAAAGATGACAGGAATGAACTTTGACTTTTTAAATTGTATTTTGAAGTGAGCTGTTCCCCTATATTTCCCTGTGATAAGGCGGTGTTCTCTCACTTTATGCAAGGCGGCCTGAAAGGTCCCCTCACATATCCATTGGCATCGGAGTCTTTTGATCTGATCTTTTTACTGACTTTCAAAACTAAGTGATTGTTGCAATTGTCTCTTAGTGAGTAGTGTATAATGTATTTTTTTTTCTCTTGCCATGTTCAAAAGCTTGAAATAATTCATCTTGACAATGTTTCTCTTTTTCAAACAATAAGCTCAATGAATTAATTATTTCTCAAATTTTGAGTAGTATCTTAGACCTTTTTATGCCACAGTGAAGCACAATTCAATTGAAACTTTGTTGCCAAATAGGCCCTTTGCAGCTAGTTGGTCACGTGCCTAGCAACGCCGAATTGGAGAGCAAGCTTTTCTGCAAAACAAATCGAATGAGTCTCATGAGCGTCCTGCGTGTGCATATCTGAAAGGCAGTTATTTTGAATTCAAGCGTGAAATACCCTTCCATCTCTCAAAATCCAATACGCTTAGCATATAATTATAGCATTTAGCACATCTTCGAATCGGAAAAGTCAATATTCAGCTGGGATCGCGGCAAAAATATCAGCGTCAAGTCGACCACGAGTTACAGACATGGCCTCTCCTTCAGGTATGTAGACTACAGATCTTGTCTTCTTGCTGCACTTTGATAGCGACGTGTGGACGATTAATAGAAGTAGAGAAAAAGAAAATACGTTAATTCACTACACGTAAAAGTTTAGGAGCTGTTTACTACCGATAAACATAGAATTTTGGCCATGGATTTCCCCTGAAACTATGATGATAGAACCAACAAAGTTGTTTAATTCACCACTAGAAGTACAGAGATATTACTCGCCCAATTTAATGATCGTATGAATTTGAAGATTTTTACCAAATCGTTAGACTTATGTTGCTCATGTTCTTGTTTTATTGCTTTTTTTAGCTGAAGAGAGCCAAGATCTTTCAATATTTCCCTCGCTGACCTTCGATGATGTCGGCCAATATGCAAAAAAAATGTCTGGATGCACTAGCACAGCGAAGGCATACAAGTTTATGGCAGAACCTGGATATCTACACGAGATTAAAGGTCAGTAATAAAATCGAGTATTTCTTATTTGTTTTTCTCAATCAGAATCTTATATTTATGTTTTAATGTTTTAGTGATACGGGCCAACGACGCGGTGAAAATTGCATCGAAATGTTTTCGTTCGATGAAGAAGAACGAGCCACCTCATTCCTTGGAAGTTTCTTCAAGCATGGCTAATAATTCTTTGTCTGGAAGGTGCTCTTGTGTGGCTGGATCAGGAGGGTATTGCCATCATGTTATAGGGCTTCTCTATTATCTGGCTTTACTTAAACAACTGGGGCATCGAACTCTGCCAGATGATCTAACATGCACCAGCATGAAGCAGCGCTGGAGTGTGCCTAGGGGGAAAAAAATTGAAGCAAAGCAAATTCAAAATGTACTTGTGAAGAAGCCTCAGCTAGGCGCATCCTTCAACAAATACATCAAAAGCAACCTGTACTCCCCATCACCAATATATGGAACAATGACTAAAGAGCATTTTAACAGTCTACAGCCAAAGCCTCTGTTTGTAACCATTGTTCCTTCTGAGCAGGACCTGAGATCTGTTTCATTTGTCCCAAGCAAATTTGGAAATGTCCCCAAAGGGTGTTTGATTTCTTATCAACAAAAAATGTCTGCAGACTATTTAGTAAATGATTTTACCTGCACTGCATTTCCAGATTTACCACTTGAGAGTGCAAATGATAGATTTCAAAATAATGTGTCTGTGTGCCTGGAGGCAAACCAGCAAGCCCTATTTGACTCTCTTTCTGTCACAAGTGAGATTTCTCTCAGGGTACAAGAAGAAACAATTACTCAAAGTTTAAGCGAGACTTGGCGTCTTTTGCGAAAGAAGCGGATAACAGCAAGCAAGTTTGGTACAGTTGCCCGGCGAGTTTCAAATTTTGAAAACCTTGTAAGTCAGCTGAACCCGGCAAGATTTGTTCAAACTCCAGCAATGAAGAGGGGTGTAGAACTTGAACCCCATGCAGCAACAGTCTATGCTAATGTAGCAAAAAATGGCAGAGTGAATTTATTCCCATCAGGATTAATTATAAATCCTAAATGCCCATGGTTAGGCTGCAGCCCTGACCGGAAAGTTTATGATTTGGATGCCCTTGGTAGTGACCAGAACCCCTTTGGTTTACTGGAGGTTAAAGTTGTTAGGGAGGGGGCAACCTCATTTGATGATGTGAGATATCTTACCAAGGATAATACTAACCAGTATTCTTTAAAGAAGAGTGACATTTATTATTACCAAGTCCAGTGCCAGTTGGGCCTCACTGGTCTAGACTGGTGCGATTTTTTCAGTTACATGAATGATGACATGTTTGTCTGCACAAGAATCCTTTTTGATCCCATTTTTTTCCAAGGGGCTAAAGATAAGGTGGACATTTTTTTTTTCAATTACTATCTAAGCTGATTTGCCTCTAGTCTTTGCTTACTCTCAAGACTGTATTTGTTATGAAAAGATTTAGCTTCAATATTCTTTTAACCCATTCTATATTTGCTCTAATTTGTGTACAACTATATTAGATTTAAAAACTTTTCTAAAATTGGTGCCAACCAGATAATGTCAGGATGAGGGATGAGGTGATGTTGACCCATGGAATGCATGGAGCATTTTTTTGCAGAAACAGAAATGTGACCTAACTTTCTTGTTAGTATTTTTTAGCTCTTTTAGCCAAGGTTTTGTTATTTACTTGCATCATCATACTCAAATTCAAGAATTAAATATATGTGGTAATCCCCCAATTAACCAAACTTAAAAGAAAAACACCAAAAATGTCCAATATTATGTTTAAAGAGCAATTGATTCAGAAATACTATATCCAGTAACAGTTGACACCTTATAATAACAATTAAAATTTACCAAGACTCATTATGACTACTTACACTTTTTGTAATAGTTTAAATATTTAATCCTTCTGAATGATCTTCTAATCCAAATGAGTGCACTACATTGTAATGTTGTCACTTTGATAAGATTAAGGGACCTTGAAAATTTGTTAGAAGACAGGCTATAGAATAGAGCTGGTTAACTGAACCTAAAGTTGAAAGAGGAACATCGGAATCCAAAAAGTGATACTCCTTAACCCTTCTGATGGCACGTTCTACATGTATTCTAAGGCTTGCAATAGTTTTGGTTTTTTGCACATCTTGAGTTGAAAACTGCCCTTGATTTTCCAGAAAAGGAGGGATGTTTAACTCAACATTATACTCCTGTAGCATGTTACCTATATCAAACCCCTTATCTGCCATCACTGAGTCTCCTGCTTCTAAGAGGTCTAAAATACCACTACATCTTGTGATTTCCCTGTCGCTAATCCCTCCAGTGTATAAAGTGGAAACAAAACATATTGCTCCATGAGGGGTGATTCCAATAAGACCTTTCAAAGTTGTGTTGCTCTTATAGGATGAGTACAGCTGTGACTGTAACAACAGGGATGTGGGTGTTTGCACAAAAATCTCTGTGCAGTCTAAAATCACTCTGGTGCTAGGATAGAGTTCTCTGAAACCCTCAGGCATGCATCTATCTACATCTGCCCTCGAGGGCCAAATGATTTGACTTCCAAGAAAAAAATACAAAAAATTGGACCAGGTTACCAATTTTCTAGAGACTGATGATATATGAATTGCAAACCTATCAGCAAGATCTTGCTCAAATAATCCAAGTTTAAGCCGAACAAGAAACATAAACATTTCATCTATTAGAAGCATATTTCTGGAGGCTGGTCTGTTTTCTCTCTCTCCAGAGGCATAACAGTAGGTCATTAGTTCAGCACTGGGTTTAATAAAATTAAAAAAAAGCTTAATATGTTCATTTGTGGGAAAGCCAGTGTAAAATTTTATACTCTCGTTGTCTGGACCAAATCTCTCCAGACCAAATTTACTTAATGTTGCTTTAGCCTTGACATTTCTTAGCTCTTCTTTAGCTGCAGCTGCTTCCTTTCTGCTCGCCTCAAGCTCTCCATGCATGGCCAGAAGCTGAGCCTTCAGAGACTGCACCTCTGTTTCCACACTTTCCCTGCTTTGCATTGCTTCACTTTCCACTCCATCAGTGTCACTATCATCTGTTTGAGTATCTCTGCAAAGAAAGCCAAAAAATTTAATATACTCATATAGTTTACATAATTTTAAATTTTAAAACAATTACATCCTTCTAGAAATTGAAGAACCTGAGGTCTGTATATATACTTTTTAACCATACATCCCTTCTACAAGGTTTCACAAATGCTTTCAATAGCAGTTAATATTTATCCAAAACTGATACAGTATTTAAAAATAAGAAAGAAGCATTCTAGTCTAGACTTATCATTGTAACCTCATAAACTCAACGATGCATTAAAACATAACCAAAGAATATATTACCTGTCGACATGTCGAATAATCTTTCTTCGTGCTTTGAAGGAGGAATTCCAGTTAAAATTCGATGGAACAGCACCTCTTTTCAGTCGCTGGCTACCAGACTTGGTGGGGGGAAGGTAATCTTCCTTGGTAAAGTGCCTTGAGCATACTCTCGTACTAGTTGTTATCTAAATGGGAAAATTTATAAGCCATTAGACACAAGTTGACCGAACAAATCCTTGCCAAATGCTTTGAAAATCGAAATGTCTCTATAAAATACCTTGAAGTCAGGACCTTCGTCTCTTCGGATTTTCACCAGCCATTCCTTCTTCAACTTTTCATCCTTGGTACGACCGGGAATGCGATGGAAACGCAAATCTTCGTGGTACCTTGAATCCCCATTACATAGGGGAACACAGCAATGGTATGCAGAATTTTTTCTGCCCGTAATGGATTGTTCAACTGACTCGTCCATATCGATATCTACAACAATGAAAACAACGCTTGTTGGTTCCGACACCATAGTCTTGAGGGGAATA